TGGCTGCACTGTTGACCATTTCTAGTGGGGGCATTGGAGACAGAGAGATGGGGCAGGGATGTGGCTGCCAGTGTTTGGGGGGGGAGGGAAGGGGCAGAGGTTGAAAAAGATGTGGAGAGGATCAGTGACATGATGCGGACCAGGGAAGGAGACGCTTTGGACAAAGCTGCTTGCTACTGATCCCCAAGGCTGAAGGCCAGATCCAGTCACTTTAGGGGCTGGATCCAGTTCACAGGCCATAGGTTGAGCACCACAGGATTAGACTGTTTGGTTGTCTGTAATAATAAAGCAAAAGAAATGAAGAATAATGACACAAGTAGATATGCACGTAATGACAGAACTTAGATAATTGTTGTTCATTTGTGATGACATTACCTGTGAATTATTCAGTGTTACAGTACGCGCCGCTCACAGCTGTGGTATTTGATACAAGTGATTTATTTAAATGCTACAATCACTCGTATTAACATACGTTTGCTTCTCTAGTATTGTTATGGATGCTCCGAGTTACAGTTTTCATGAGAAGTTTCATCTTTGATGAATGAATCTGTTGTGCACTGGTGACATAAGTCAATGAATTAATTAATCTATTGTGCATTGGTGAATTTTTAGCATACATTCTCATATTTCACATATTGGTTTAACCAACAGATGTTTTGTTTTGATTTGCCTTTGGAGAATCTTGCACTAGATAGCATGATTATTCTCTTATAGCATTTATAAATATTTGTTAAGCAAAATATACTTAAAAAAAAAAAGTAGCAGTGTCCTGTACAGTAAACTACCTTGTGTAACTCACTAGCAAAACCCACCCTGAAACAATAGAAGAACAACAAAATGAGGCATCAAGACGATTTGAAGAGGAGCAAGTGCGTGGCTGCATGGCTGCCAGGACAAATCCCAATAAAACTCAAGTAGATTTGACTCAAAACAAAGACCACCTTATAGGTCAGTTTCCTTCAGGTAGTGCCAAAGAAACACATGAATTCAAGGGAAAAGATTCAGAGGAAATCAGAAAGCTAAGGCGGCTTGAACAAGTTGGCATTAAAGTCATGTCAGCAGCTCAGCGCTATGGCAGGTTAGCCCGACAGTGTGGAATGTTGTGCACGCTTCACATTTAATCAGTTTGCTAGTGTGTGGGGTTTTTCTCATTCTGCCGTTGGTTCATGCCATATAACAAAAATGTGTTGTGCTAAGCACTTGCACTTTCTGCTATTTCACTTGCAACTTACAAGCAGCACAACTTACAGGACTTCAGAAAAGGTCTAAGTGTGAAAAGGCTTGTGGTATGGCAGTAATGCATTACAAACCTATAGGCTACTCAATTCATTATATTAACTAGGTTGATTGTACTACTGTAGGATGGAAATAGACTACCAAGAAGTCTTGCAATCTTTAATTTGATAAAAAACTTCTGCTACTACGTTATGCCTGTTTGGGGCAAGAGTTCAAGAAATTCCTGATATACCTTAGTGATGGAATACTTCAGGAGCAAGTGACTGAATTACATTTATATTTGAGGTTGTTATTGTTGTTAGCAGTTTTACTGAAGGCTGTATTTAACTTTAAAGACAGGAACTATAAAAATGCACTGCTTGTTAACACGTGGACCAATTAAAGCACATGAGTATAGTTCAGCAATTGTGATTTGACTGATTTAAGTATGGAATGGCCATATTTTCTCACCTTATTACCTGCATTACTTGTTTATAGTTTCTGCTCATGTCAGTTATTTCCTTTTCTTTATTTGAAAGCCTTAATAATATAGAGATTTAATTTCATATGAAGCTTGTTCCAGGTCTTTTCATTGCACTTATGTGAGACCCTCATGAAAAATAGCTATTCATCATGCAGCTTTTTTACTGAGCAAAACTTTAGGGAGTATGATGAAAGCTTAGTCTTTTATGAAAGATTGACATAGTAAATGTCTAAACTTACACCCCCTAGAAGAACCTCAACTTTTGGAACATCTGGAAAGTATTCAATATCATCATAATCTCTAACAAACACTAACAAAAAAACTTCAGTATGAATTAAATCTAAAAATTATAGGAAGGGGTGCCAGCAAAACGTATGTACAGAATGTAGCTTTGTTGGGCCTGATATTAGTTTGCATCTCTAAGTGTTATGTAAATAATAACAACCATAATGAAAGCACACATGAAATGCACGCATTTATTTTATATATATTTTGGGTGGGTTTCACTTGTTGTTGTTTATACAATGCTAAACGATGCAAACTAAGATCCGAATTAAGCTTCTTTCTCTCTCTGTAGATATATATCAATATCAATATAGATATAGATATATATAGGCTTAATGAAGCTTATATGCTATGTGCAGTCACCAAGTCCAATCAAAATAGCCTGATTTTGCTTCTTCATATACATTTTTCCTCTTCCTCTTTTATTTTGTTTCTCTCAGAATATCTTATATTATAAGCAATAACAAACTAATTCATTTTCTATAAAGTGAGACGCATCATAAACAATGCATACAAAGCAATGCTGTACTCTACAAGGTAATGTTCAAACTTAGTGTTACCCTAGGAGATTAGCCAAAATACTAATAAAAAGAATATGCTATCAGTCATAAAACACAATCCTATCCTGGCTTGGTTAATTGCTAGCCGGTCAGTAGTTCATAAACCAGAAGGATAATAGTGCAAGCACAATTTGGTTTCAAGACTGTCTTAGCCAATAGTATTATGTTTGGTAATCCAAGGTGTAACAAACAATATTTATAGCATGCACATCTTTGGAGGATGCTGTCAACCTTTGGCTGTCAGCCCTCTGCTCCAATCCTGTTTTAATTTAGTGACTTAATCTCTGAGACAGATCCAGATGTGGGCAAGCATATGGCCCAAAAGGGAGTCTGGTCTCCTTTTAAGAGGAGTTTTGTTCTACCTTGGCAGAAGGAAAGAGAAGAGCAGTTACAAGGGATTCTCCTCCCTGCTCTCAGCAGGAGATCCTTGATTTGCCAACCAGATGCAACTTCTGCAGGTGGAAGCAGAGGGTTCTCAGAGGAACTAATGATGCTTTGCCTCAGCTCAACAGCTGAGGTCAAGAGCCAAGCCAAACAGGAGAAGCTCAGCCTGTCTAGCAGCTTGGCCCCTGAGATTGAGCAAAAAGACTTTTGGGCCTGGTGAGGCAGGGGAAGTGTTTGATGTCTCTAGGGGGAATTGAGTTGCTACATACATGAATGAGACAAAGGAAACAGGGAAGGGAACTAGACAGCTATAGAGGGGAAGAGACCTAGGGCTACAGGTGAGGGGAATCACATTTTTGTCACATTCTTGCCCACTGGTTATCTGTTATCTCACTTTTAAATCCCTTAATTGGCTCCCGTTCCTCTTCCACAATAAGTTCTAGCTGCTTCTCCTGACAATCATGGCTCTGTGTAACTTGACTTCCTTAACTTGCTTATTCTGACTTTGTCTCATTTCCCCACTGCTGCACCATTGTGCCAGTCGGTGCTGTTCTCCCACAGCTGTCAGTGTTCTGTTTTTGCCAGTGCCAGTCTGGTGGCCCAGCACCTTTTTTGATATTCAGATCCCCAGAAGACCCAATTTAACTGTTGGGTGTAAAAGTCAGTTACTGCAAGGCTGAAGAATTTTGCAGCCCCAGTCCAGTGGTCACTTAAGCACATGCTTGTGTGTTACTTGTTCAGGGTTTCCATACAGTCTAGGACATAAGATAATTATAAATTATATCAAGATGTGATCTATCACCTTAGCCACTTCACTTGCATCTTGTACTCTTATGTATCTGTCTTTTTATAGTTTCATAGTTTGTAGGGTCAGAAGGGACCTGAGCAGATCATCAAGTCCGACCCCCTGCCATGCCGGGAAAGAGTACTGGGGTCAAATGACCCCAGCAAGGTGACTGTGAAGCCTTGTGTTAAAGACCCCCAGGGTAGGAGCCAGCACCACTTCTCTTGGAAGTTGGTTCCAGATACTAGCCGCCCTGACAGTGAAGTAGCGCCTCCTGATGTCTAATTTGAATTTACCCTCTGCCAGCTTATGACCATTATTTCTAGTCACTCCTGGTTGGTCTGACAGGACCTGCCTCTAATGAACCCGTGTTGGTTGCCCCTAAGCATAATCTCCCCCGCTGGCCCCTTGTGGATATGCGCCAGATTAATTCTCTCAAAAAGCTTACCCAGGATCAAGGTAAGACTAACTGGCCTATAGTTTCCCAGGTCCTCCTTCCTCCCTTTTTTGAAGATGGGTCCTCCCTTTTTTTACAGTGTTAGATCTTCAGATCAGGGACCTGATTTTTTTTAAGGCATCCTGACTAGTGGTGAAGAATGGGAGGGGGGCCAAGCTGTGTCTGATAGAAAGGTATTAGTGGAATTCTTTTATATTTAGGAGCATTGGTCAGCTGACTGGCATTCCCAACCACAGGCCTGCCCCCAACTCTTGAAGGACTTAAGTGCGCTCCCAAAACCGGGAGCCCTGATCAGCAGAATGCATTGGAGCCCTTCAAGGCTCTGGTGTGTTCCTAAGACTGGCAGCCCAAATTAGCTGATTGGTGCTGGCCACATGTTCAATTTAAGGTGCTTTGGGAACCAGCCACAAAGTTATTACATATATTTTGTGTAATAACTTTGTGGTTTATTCCTTGTTTTATCACACCATTAACTGCATGAACATGTGGCTGGGTTACTACTTAAGACATGGTTACCTGGTTAATCGCATCTTGAGTGTAATGGCTGCCAGGGGCCTGAGAGTGATTCATAAAAAGAACAAAATGCTTACTCTCTCCGTTTCAAATCTAAATACCATATGCTGCTTTTATATAAAATTAAACTAAATGCTGATTGGAAAGTGATCGCTTGGTCAATGACCTTCATTAAAATTATGGGTGATCCCATAATTAGTCTAGTTTGCCATGGCCTTTTAAATCTCTGGAGGCCATAACTCCATAGTTCTCACTTATCAAGGAGAGCCTGCTCAAAATCAGAAAAATTGTTTTTGTTAAGCTTAAGTGGTACCATTAAGACACGAACCTAATAGGTGATTTCAACCAGCTGAATAATTACTTAGAAGTACAGGGTTTATAGTGTATTTACAGGTAACATAACATTAACTGTATGAATTTTTTAAAAAAGAGATGAGCATTTTAAAGGGACTTTTAGCATGATGCGATTAACCAAAAGTGTCAGTTATGTCAGAATTCTAAAATGATTTCAGAATTACTAGCTTGTAATATAGTGTGATAGCAGAAGAGTCTGAAGCAATATGGGTGATGTTAATTGCACTTAATCCCCCTTCAAATGCTCATCCTCACCCCTAATTTGGACCAGTATTTTCCAGCTCTGCTTTTTCCTTGTAAAGTCAGAAGAGAAGTATAGAATAAGAATTTGTCTCTTCAAAGTGATATCTCTTTCTTAGTACTTGTCTGATACTGCCCTGCACATGGTGTTTTCTTCTATAGTCTGTCAATCTTTAAAGAAATATACTAATATATAAGCATATCCCTCTGAGAAACAAGAGAATTTTTATAAAATAATTAAGGGAAAAGTGAAGATTTCTCAATGAAGGACTCAATCTTGGCTGATAACTTTCCCTTACAATGACACAAATTACAAAAGCTGAGTTGGACTTGGACATAGTGCACTGTTGGTAATCATAGTAAATTAGAATTGAGAGAATTAGTAGACCTGTTTAGGACAAAATTAATAGATTCATAGAAAATTAGGGTTGGAAGTGACCTCAGGAGGTCATCTAATCCAACCCTCTGCTCAAAACAGGACCATCCACAACTGTATCAGCCCAGCCAAGGCTTTGTCTATCCAGGTCCAACCTCTAAGGATGGAGATTCCACAACCTCTCTGGGTAACCTGTTGCAATGAATCCATGCAAATCACTTTCTTCTCCTCCTCCAAGTGTTTAGAAATGGGTTCCTTGAGGATTTGCTCCATTTTTTCCAGGGACTGAAGTGAGGCTGACTGGTCTGGTCTGTAGTTCCCTGGATCTTCCTTCTTCATTTTCTTAGAGATGGTCACTGTATTTGCCCTTTCCCAATTGTCTGGGACTTCACCTGATTGCCACAAGTTATCAAAGATAACAGCCAG